TGACGCCGCGAAGCTGGATTTCCTGAGCGATGTCCTGCTTCAGGCCGCCGATGTAGCGGTCGATGCGTTCGCTCTCATGCATGTAGCCCACCTGCTCGCATAGCGCCAGAAATCCGCTCGTGTAATCCTGGACGGAACCGAGTTGGCGCCAAGTGCGGAGCTTCTGTCGCGCCGAGATCGAGGCCGCGATTGGCTCAAATCGAGCGCGCAGACCTGCGCACCACGCGTCCCACGTGCGATACTGGGGCACCTCCACGAAATACGACGGCGCCCAGGATCCGGTTTGTCCTTCCCGTGTCGGTAGTGTCGCGTAGTCGGTCGGCTTCGTGACGATGACGCGCCACCAGTCCATGGCGGGTCCTCGCAGCAACGACACAGCGTATCGAATCTTCGCCGAGTCCTCTGAGACGTAGTTGGCGTCGAAGAAAACATTCATTGTGAATAACCACGCCTGAACGGTAGGACCACCCCGTTGACTCGGGTCAAAGCATGGCGGGCGCTACGGCTTCAGCGGCATCGGTGACGGCAGTCCCGAATCGTGGGTTGGTGCCGAAATCGTGACGCGAGGCTGACTTGGGGCCGCAGGCGTCGCTCTGGGGTGTGTCGTGCCGTGGTCGTCGTCTCCGTCGGGGCGGACGACGCCATCACTGGCCGCGCTCGCGGGTTGCCCCACACTCCCGTGTTGTGATGTTGAGGGTGCGGGTTGAATCGGAGTGCCAGGTGCTTGAGATTGTGCTCTCAGGAGGTCATTTTGCAGCGATGAGCGTTCTGCCGTCAATGACGCGATTTCCTCGGAGCTTTCGTGCAGTTGTCGCAGCAGATCGTTCAAACGCTCCTGCGTGAGAGTGGTGACGTCGATGTTTTCGGCCATGACGAAGGGCGTCGGCTCGTCTTAGTCTAGGCGCAGTCGTGGCTGCACGCGTTTACGAGAGAACGCGAGGACAGCGGCTCCTAGGGGCTAAGGTGCGTGAGTCCCTTCGAGTGAAAAATCAAAAGTTGATTTCCTGGTGTGCGGAGATGCGCGGTCCGAAAGAAAGGGGCTCTGATAACCAAGTGTTACGGGTGCAATGAATCGACGTAGCGAGAATTGCACTAAGGTGTCAAACGAGTACAAAAATGTGAGCGAAGGCATGAGCGAACATTTATACGCGAAACATGCAAAACGGTAACGCGGTGCGTGCGAGCTTGCTAGTGCTACGCTGGAACGAGGCTCGGGCTAGTCCCGAAGCGTAGGCCGACACGGCCATGCCAGCAGTGCGAGGTTTGGTAAAACAGTGCGCGCGAAGTCGGCGAAGTTCCGTTAGCAGTAACGGGCGAATAATCGGCTGTTGCTGTACGCGATGTAGTCGGCTCCGTAAGGAATGCCGAGAAAATTCCTTACAACAGCAGAAACGGGCGGCTCGGATTAACTCCTGAAGCCGATCCGTTGAGTTATCAGTCAGCTTTTGCGAATTTGTAAGCGAGGAGACGGTATAGGAGAACAGTCAAATTACACCTTGCGACACTGGCCCTCTCGCGGCAATTCAGTGTTCACCGCGCACGCGTTTTACCATGGCTGTCGGTGATCGTGGGGTGAGTCCACCACCGCCCTACAGAACCTACAGTGATGACCACCGGCTGTGTGGTGATCATTCAATCAGTCAACTTATGAGCACATTCGTGGAATCTCACTCAAGGAGCCCGAGAAGCTTCGCGCGCGCGTGACGTGCTTGCGCGCGCAGTGCTGAGGAACGTGAATGGCTGCTCACTCGGCGCTTGGATCAGGCACAATTCACGCGTTCACGGCTCGACGGTTTGCTCCCAAGTCCCCACGCAAGGCACCTCGAATCCGTAGTAGGTTCTACATTAGAGGGTCAGAAACTGTCCGACCCTCAGAGCAGCGTCGTCCTTCTCGTCCTTGCAGCTGCTTCCCGCCTCCTCATTCCGCCTCCCTGCTCCTCGCCCGCCCATGCCTCCCTGCACCCTTCCATCCGTCCCTGAACCGACCATGTCCATGCACACGCCTGCTCACACAACAATCACGCACCACCGCAACACACTCCTCTCCACTCCTGACACCTCTCTCGCCAGCACAGGGGAATAAGGGTCCCATTTTCGCCTTCCCCTCCGCCCTCCCCTCCGCCTTTCCACACGCGTCCACTTGGTTGCTCCACTAAGGGAGGCTGGGCGCCAGTGGCACACTTGAGCCGTCCTCGCCCGAGCCTCCCCCTCCCAAGCCTGTAACAGTGGGTTGGGCCGAGCCTTTGCTCGAGCCTCGCACACTCGTCTCCCCCTCGCTTGACCGTCCTCTGCTTCCTCCCTATCCTCTGCTTCCGCTGCTGCCACTGGTGGCACTGCTTGTTTTGCCTGTTCAAGTCCCCACCGCCGTTGTCCGCATCACATTTTCCCCGCATCTCTTTTCCGCAGCGGTGGCATCGCTGCTGCTCTCTCCCATGCCAGCAAACTCTTGAGGGGCGGAGTGCGTGCGCTGCTGCTGTCTACTCTGTTCCTGATGGGTGCTATAGCCATGGGACTGAGAGCAGCACCAGCTATAGCAGCCACAGTTTTAGTTGCATCGGGCGACGTGGTGGTTGGGGGTGTTGAGGTCGCATTCGGACTCGGGTAACCTTGGTGAGGTTGCCCTGGTCCACGGAATTCGTTTGTTATTTTCGACACTTCCTGTGTTCGCGGGCCTATCGCTATTCCTGAACCCAATCAACCTTCCTAAGGATGAAGTTCTTGGCCCGCGGGTTTTGAACTTAAGTTCAATCTTCAGCTACGGTTGATTCTTCAACTACAGTCCAAGCTAGCCAAGTGGGAACCCTTGGAAACAAGCAGGGGAGGAGGCTTAAGGCCAATGCATTCGTTCGACTTGCAGCCAATCGTGTTGCTCCAGCTGTCGTTCAACTAGAGGTGGAAAGGTATGCTCTGATGCTCTGGCTCTTCGTTTGGACTAATAGATCTCAAGGAACCCTTGAGTGGAACCCAGAACACATGGTACAGGAGGCGGTTTACGTTTGAGTCGAGTCAAAAGAATGCTCTGGCTCGTCCTTTCGACAAATGGATCTCAAGGTATTCTTTAGTGGAACCCAAGACTCATGGTTTACCAGGGTCTTCTGTGCACAGGAGGTGGTTTACTTTACAGGGTGTTGATATTCACGCTTGAAAAAACTCCTTGAAGCCTTCACTGATTGTTAAGCATGAGCGTCCTTTTCAGGCCCTGCTTGCAAACTAACGCACTCGCATGCACTCCACCTCGAATGACACGCCTTGTACCCGCCACTCGTCTCGTGTGCCTGTCGCGTCGCTCCCCCACTTGCAGGCACCTTCCTCGGGTATCCCCACAAGCCACCTTGAGAGAGGGCGAGGAGGGCAAAGGCGAGGAGGCAGAGGGGCGGGGCAGCAGCGACAGTGTGGATGGAGGAGAGGGGGATGAGTTCATGGAGACAGGTGGGTTGGGTTAGAGATTCTGACAAGGTGGGTTGGGGTTCGCACATCAGTATCTTCTGAGAATTCTCAAAAGCAGCAGTGGCAATGTGGTGTGGATGGCGGAGAGGGGGATGCGTTCAGAGAGACAGGTGGGTTGGGTTCGGTTTAGCACAGCAGTATGGCTGTGCGAGCATGGTTACATCGTAGACGCATGCCATCTCCTGTTTCCACGCACGGTGACCCATGCCCGCAAACCCTCTCTTACATACTGTTCCCTTTTGCTCTCCCTCATCACCTTGTTCTCCATCCTTTCCCCGTTTCACACCTTTTCACATCGCTCTTTTCAACCACCCTCCCATCCCAACTTACGCTGCAACCAACCCACTCCTTTGATGCTCCTGGCGAGACTTCTCATCACTCCATTCATTCATGTTCCTGCAGACGACGTGATGTTCCTGGCGAGATCTGATTCGATTGCAAGCACTCGAAGCGCAGATGATGGCAGTACTCGCCTCATGGCAAGCTTGGCATCCTCGTGGCCGCACAAGCCTCGAGTAGGGGCGTGGCTGCGTAAGCTCAAGGAGAGGGCGAGGGTGGAGGCCAAGTTGAAGGAGAAGGCCAAGGCACCCGAGGCGTACACAGAAACTAGTGTGTGAGCTTTGCTGTTGCCTGCAGTCCGCTTTGCATCTCTTGTCTTTCACCAGTGTCCTTGTCACACACTGCGTGCACAAGCCTCGAGTGGGGGCGTGGCTGCGCAGGCTCAAGGAGAGGGCGAGGATGGAGGCCAAGGCAAAGGCACCCGAGGCGTACACAGAAAATAGTGTGTGAGCCTAGCTGCCTTGCGAGGGATTTTGCTTCGGTTTCTGCTCAACCAGTTTCGCACAATAGATCTCTTTTAGTGGAAGCAAGCGCCGTTTGCAACTGCATTCCATAAGCGCTTGCTCCATGCATTCTCACTCATATTTGTTCATGTGTTCTCCTGTCTGCTCGCGCATGCATGCTCATGTTTGCTCAAAGGTTCTTGCCGCATGGGCCTCCTTGTTTTCTACTTCACCCACCTCCCTCCATGCCCCTCCTCCCTTCCCCCCTCCATCTCTCGCTCCTCAGTACTCCAGTGGCTATGGCCCATGGGTTCACCCGCCTAGTACCCTCCTTCCTTACCTTCTTCCCAACATCCCTCCCTCTCGTCCACCTTCCCTTCCTCCCACCCTTCCCTCCCTTTTCTCCCTCCCTACCCATCAGCAGCAGCAGTTTTATCATCCACAACACTCAGCAGCTGGTGATGGAGCCACTTGGTGAAAAAACCAATGTAAATATACTTTTGTGAGATGGCTCAGAACACATCCGCCCCCATTCCATCCCTTCCTCCCTTCCTCTCCACCCACCAGCGGCAGCGGGTTCATTGTCAGCAGCGCTAAGCGGCCTGTTATAAATCACCTAAGAATGATTTTTATGCAAGGCGCTCTTCAAGCCATCCTTACCTCCCTTCTCCCCCCCCCCCCCCCCCCCCCCCCCCCGTCCCCCGTCTCCACCCACCTGAGGCAATGGATTCATTGTCAGCAGCACTCAGCGGCTGGCTCTGACCAAGGCTCATGTCGTTTGTTGTGCCTCAACACGTATTCCTTCCTCCTTCCCTCTTTTTCTTCATCCCCACCCATCAGAGGCAGTGGGTTCATCGTCAGCAACACTCAGCAGCTGGCTGGCTCCGACCAAGGCTCATGTCTTTTGAGGCGCCTCAGCACTTATTCGTCCCCTTCTTCCCTCCGGTCCTCCACTCCCACCCACCAGCGGCAGCGGGTTCATCCTCTGCAGCAGCACTCGCGGCTGGTTCTCACCAATGCTCATGTCGTTTGATGCGCCTCAACACTTATCCCCCCCTCCTCCCCACCTTTTCTTCACCCCCACCCACCAGCGGCAGTGGATTCATTGTCAGCAGCGTTCAACGACTGGTTCTCACCAACGTGCACGTGGTGGATGGTGCAGCGAGAGTGACAGTAAGGGGGGTGAGGAAGCGGGAATGTCTTTCTGGATACGAACGGATGTGTGGCACACATTGCCCATTGGGATGTGCTGTGGTAGTGCTCAGTGGCTGGTGCTCACCAACGCACATGTGCTGGGTGGATGGTGCAGCAAGAGTGACGGTAGGGCGAAGGGAGGAATCACTATCCTGCATGTTATGTTTCGTATGTCACAGCAGCTAGACACATGTGCTGGTGCTCAGCGGCTGGTTCTCGACACGCCAATGTGGTTGATGGTGCAGTGAGGGTGACGGTAAGGCGAAGAGGGGAATCACCCTACTGGGATTAGACAGTTACTCACGTCTCATCTCATACAGGGAGGGATGGGATGGATGAGACATGTCACAGAAGCCTAAGGAGAGCATCGGTCACAGCTAGTTCATCTGTGATCCCTCCCTTCCGTTTTCTTCCATCCCTCTCATCCCTCTTATCTCTACCACCCTATTCCCCCCATATCTCTCATCCCCCCTAGATCTGACATCCCCCCATTCCCCCCAGATCTCCCATCCCTCACTCCCACCCCACCTATCCCTCCCTTCTTGTCAGCTGCTTCTTCCTGGCGGTCGTTGCTTTGTTACCGGGACTTCCGCGGGCCTGGCAGTGCTAGTTCAACATTCTCTCCTAACGCGCCCTTCCCCACCCCATCCCTCCCATGTCTCCCATCCCTCCCATGTCTCCCATCCCTCCCATGTCTCCCATCCCTCCCATGTATCCCATCCAAACCCCCCATTCTTCCCATCCCTTCAGCTGCTTCTTCCCGACAGTCGTCGCTTTGCCACTCAGTCAACCGCACTGCATCCCTCTGCAGACCTCGCAGTGCTTAAGATAGTGCTGCTGTCAGTCACGTCAAGGTAGTGTATCGCTGCATTCGTCTGTTGACCCTGGTACGGGGTTACTTAGCACTGAAGTGACTGTTGAGTCGACTCAAAACTCATATCGCTGCATTTGTCTGTTGCCACTAAAGGAACCACTACGAGCGTCAATGTTAGCGCATGCGGGTCTGCCTGTGGTTGTTGCTTGAATCTCCCACTCATTCTTCCATGGTGAAATAGGTTCGAAATAGGTTCAGCGGTAGTGAGCCATTTCTACTCCACATTGATAATTGTTCACCAACTGAGGCTCGCTTGTTGATTCTCCTGCTTCAAGCATTGTCATCAGTGCCTCACTCGAAGGGAGAACCCTCTCATTACCACCTACTCTCTTGCGTGACCAATCAGACCCATGCTTCCACCATCAGAGGCTCTTACTACCACTTCAAACATTCTATCAGTCCTTCCTTTCTTTCTTTTTTGCCTGTTGTATTGTGTTGTGTCTATCTACACTTGGCCAGTAGGTGACTCACAGGCTGTTGACCCGAAGGGGGAAGGTTGCTCTACAGCAGACATGTTCCTTCTCTTGTTCTCTCTTTCCTCCCACTGCTGCCCAGTAGGTGACTCACAGGCTGCATACCAAAGGGCCACCAGCCAGCCCTCTTTCCAGCCTGCAAGGGGTTGAAGAGCCGGCTGTAGCAAGAGTGAAGAGTGAGTTGGCTGTAGCAAGAGTGAAGAGTGAGTTGGCTGTAGCAAGAGTGAAGAGTGAGTTGGCTGTAGCAAGAGTGAAGAGTGAGTTGGCTGTAGCAAGAGTGAAGAGTGAGTTGGCTGTAGCAGAAGAGGAGGGGACAGGGTGGTCGGCAGCAGACAGTGTTGGGTCAGCTAAGGAGAGGGTTACTGTGCATGGTTGCAGAGGAGGGGGGTCGCGGGAAGGGGTTGGGGAGCGTTTGATCAAGGGGGAATGGGATGAGAACTCATTTGTGGCGGTCATATTTGGGGAAGCGAGAGGAGGAGAGCAAGAGAGAGGAGGGGAGAGTGGAGGGAAAGGCGATGGAGAGGAGGGAGAAAGGCAAGGGAATGGAGGGGAGAGAGGAGGAGGTCAGAGGGATGGAAGAGAGGAAGGAGCGGGCAACAGGGAAGAGGAGTGGCTGCCCTGTGCGCCCATTGGTGACAGTGATGACATGGAGCTTGCTGATTGGGTGATCTTGGTGGGCAATCCCGTGGGGCTACCTGGCAGCATCAGCCTGGGCGTGATTAGCAGCCTGCACCGCACTGCTGCTCAGGTGAGTGAGGCTGTTGGGCGGGAGAGGAGGAGGGGTTGAGGGGGAGGACGGGGTGGAGGGAGTTGAAGAGCAGCTGTGCATGGGACGTTTGGCACCTGGGCGTCATTAGCAGCCTGTACTGCACTGCCGCTCAGGTGAGATTGTGGTGGGGGAGTGGGGGAATGGCAAAGAGCAGATCTACACGGATTTATGTGGTGCAGTATCAGCCTGGGCGTCATTAGCAGCCTGCACTGCACAGCTGCTCAGGTGGGTGCAAGGTTGGGGGAGTGGGGGACAGGGGAGAGCAGATCTACATGGGTTTACACAGGGCAGTATCAGCCTAGGAGTCATTAGCAGCCTGGGAGTCATTAGCAGCCTGGGAGTCATTAGCAGCCTGGGAGTCATTAGCAGCCTGGGAGTCATTAGCAGCCTGGGAGTCATTAGCAGCCTGGGAGTCATTAGCAGCCTGGGAGTCATTAGCAGCCTGGGAGTCATTAGCAGCCTGGGAGTCATTAGCAGCCTGGGAGTCATTAGCAGCCTGGGAGTCATTAGCAGCCTGCGCCGCACTGCTGCTCAGGTGAGGGAGAGGGAGGGCCATAGTCAGGTGATACTCTAGGTGGCACTGCGCTGAGTCTCAAGTGAGTAACTTTTAAGAGGTCTCACAAGTCAACTGCTGCTCAGGTCAGCGCCATCATCAGGTGACAATTCAGGTGGCACCGCACTGCTGCACCTCACTGCTGCTCCGCACTGCTGCACCGCACTGCTGCTCCGCACTGCTGTACCGCACTACTGCACCGCACTGCTGCACCGCACTGCTGCTCCGCACTGCTGTACCGCACTACTGCACCGCACTGCTGCACCGCACTACTGCACCGCACTACTGCTCAGGTAGGGGAAATGGAGTGCCCTGCTCCTCACTCCACCACTTCCAGACTGACTGTGCCATCAACCCGGGGAGTTTTTTTACACTTCCTCCTTCTCCCCCCACTCTCACTCCCTCGAGTTTCCTCTCCCCTTCCCCACCCCTCCCATCAGGTGGGAGTGCCACACTCCTCGCTGCACTTCTTCCAAATAGACTGTGCCATCAACCCGGGAAGCTCAGGTAGTCCCCTTGTGAACGAGTTCAAGAGGTGCGAGTGCTGCTCTCGTGCTGCTCTCATGCTGAACAAGAAGGTTGGTGTGTGCCCACTGCGCTCCGATCGGTATAGAGCTGCTTTTCTGTAAAGACCTCCCATCAACCCAGGGAGCTTAGGCAGTCCCCTCGTGAACACAACAGATTCAGAGGGGTATGGATACACTCATAAAGGTCATGATTTGCCTAGCTTGCTGCTGACATGGCACGATCTGACTGGTGGCTGCAGGTGATTGGCATCGCAACAGCCATCCGGTCAGATGCTGAGGGAGTGGCATTCGCCATTCCCATCAACCATGTGAGTCGCTTCACACTGCATTTCTCACTGCGTGACTTCTGAGTCGACTCAAAACTCTGGTCGGATGCTGTGGGAGTAGCGTTTGCCATCCTATCAACCATGTGATCATGTCTTTTGAGTCAACTCAGAAGTCAGCTCGCTTCCTCACTTCCTCTCACCAAACCCATGGGGTTCGTTTCGTTGCGAAGTCAGGCCTCCTCAGCCCACCTGTCCGTTATTGACACGTCCGTTGGGTCGACTCAATTGTCAGCTCGCTCCACCCGAGTGCAATCTGCTGTTTTGAATTCCCACCTCGCAGCCATTTCTTATTTTGCATTTCTCATTTTGCGCTTGCTTCCTCTCTCTGCAGGCCATACGTGAGTTGGGTTCCACTAGTATACACTTAGATGCAAGAGGCCCAGACACTGTTTCCGGAAGAATGTAAATTCTGTATCTCTCGGCTATATCTGTATGTTTTTCTTCCAGTGCCAGCCACAGATAGCTGTGGTCACCATTTCATATGTTAGGGGCATGCCGGTGTTTGGTATAGTCCTGTGTGTTACACGGTTAGGTCCTTTCGTTTTGCAATAGCAAATGACTGGAATATTGTGACACCAAAAAGCGCGAGTACCGTACAGTAAATGAGAAAAATACTAAGTGTACGTATGTAAGGAGGATGTTGGGGAAACTCTAGTCTGTCACATTGATGGATATAGCATAATTGTGGTGCAGTTAGTGAGTCCTTGCTGTGTATGAATTCAACAGAGATTCTTGATTGAATGTGCAACTCTTGTGTGAATTTGCAGGGTGGTCGGTCAAATGATAGCTCCTGGCTGTGCCTAAAACTTCGATGAAAAATGCCAATGCCGGGGATCCATCTTCCGCGTGACAGGCGGAGATACGGACCACGTCTGTTGGGAAACTTAACAAGACTCAGCGTTAATGTCGGACGGGTTGCGTAAATGTTACATTCATAATTGACAAAAAAAAAAGGAAGTGCAATTTTGTTTTCTTATTTAGCGCCAAATTGAGGTATACCGTATTTAAGAATACGGCAAGTGCTTCTTGATGGTGCAATGTATTCGTTTCAATCTGGATGTTTATGATTTTTAAACATTGAGACACATTGATCGTTCTTTTCAATGTAGTGAACAAAGATAATACTTTGTATTGTACCATTGCACTATTTTTAATGAGTTGTTTTCAGCCCAGTCAGTGTCACGTGAATGTGCGTGTGCTTTCACGTGACAATCCCAACCACCTCTTGCCTAAGATATATGACAGCCCCCGTGGGTGCAGTTCCCCCCCCCCCCCCCCCCCCCCTAAGAACGAGCCAGGACGAGTTTCAGATTTTTTACAGCCAAAATTCTCGGCGAACTACCTTTTGCCTGACGAGCCAGGACAAGCTTTCATATATTCGCTGTTTTATGATTCGCGAAGAAAGCGAAACTGTTACGAATTGGGGTCTTCGTCGTTTAGCTGTCAGATAGGCGCACGAGTGTCGTGCAAACGATTCTCATCCTAAACGACGGTAATGTCAGAATATTGTGCTCTAGCCTGTAGTGGGGTGCTCTATAGCGAGTACAACCCTTCTAGGGTTTGCTATTTGTATCCTCATTCTTGCTAGTTCAACCCTCTTCTTTCCTTCTAATTTTGTCATGCTCTCAGAGCAGGTCGATCCCCTTGGATCGATCCTGTTGGTGGGTTACCACCTCCTCGCTTCCGCTGCAACTTTTTTCTTCCCGCCGTGCGCCCCGAGGCGCGCGGCGGTTTTCTGCCCGCCGTGCGCCCCGAGGCGCGCGGCGGTTTTCTGCCTGCCGTGCGCCCCGAGGCGCGCGGCGGTTCTCTGCCCGCTGTGCGCCCCGAGGCGCGCGGCGGGCTTCTGCCCCGTCGTTCGCCGCGTCGCCCTCTGGAGGCGCCGCGACGGGCGACGGGGACCCTTCGCGGCCCCGCTGCCTACCTTCGCGGCCCCGCCGTCTACCTTTCGCGGCCCCGCCGTCTACCTTTCGCGGCCCCGCCACCTACAATCGCGGCCCCGCCACCTGCCTTCGCGGCCCCGCCGCCTACCTTTGCGGCCCCGCCACCTACCCGTCGCGGCCCCGCCGCCTCACTTCGCGGCCCCGCCGCCCTTCTGTCGCGGCCCCGCCGCCCCAACTTCGCGGCCCCGCCACCCTACGTTCGCGGCCCCGCCGCCCCACTTCGCGGCCCCGCTGCCCTTCTGTCGCGGCCCCACCGCCCCGGCCCCTTTTCCCGTCGCCCGTCGAGGCGACCCTCGGGGGCCGGGGGGCGAGCGCCGCCATCCCACCCTGCCTGTGTTAGGGTTTGGGGGTGGCAAGCAGGGGGTGGCGAGTATGGGGGTGGCAAGCAGGGGGTGGCGAGTATGGGGGTGGCACTTCCTCATTCCTCCCTTTGCTCCTCCTCCTCCTTCGTCTCCCACTGCTGCAGCTGTCGCTGAGGGGGGTGGATGTGTGGGAGACTGGGGTTTAGGGTTTAAGGGGGGTGCGTGGGAGTGGAGCTAGGGGTGTAGCAGCGGGTGTGTATCAGGGGGGTGGGACTGTTTGCGGGAGGTTGAGCGGAGGCTGCCGTCTTGTCGTCCGCAGCACCTGTAGTCCGGGGCGTTGTCCCAGTAGCCCAGTGAGCTTGTCGCTGCGCCAGTCGCCTGTGGGTCCGTAGCTCCTGCCGCTCGTCTTAGCCGCGGAGCCAGTTACTCCTGTAGTCCGGCCGCTTGGTCCGGTAGCCACTGTGCTCGCCACTCCTGTTGCCCGTGTGTCTGCAGCTTCAGCCGCCGCCTTCTATCTCCTCTCCTCTCACTCTCCTCCTCCTCACTTGCCCGTTGTGACTACCACTAGCTTTGCTGATAATTGTGAACTTTAACTATTACTTCTTGAACTTGTGCTCAGAATGTGTGGTGACATTGTGATCCACCCTGAGCTTGTACTGCTTTGCTTGCTCTGCTGATTACACCCCACTTTGGCTATAGGGGTGTGTCAGAATATTGTGCTCTAGTCTGTAGTGGGGTGCTCTATAGCGAGTACAACCCTTCTAGGGTTTGCTATTTGTATCCTCATTCTTGCTAGTTCAACCCTCTTCTTTTCTTCTAATTTTGTCAGGTAACGCTGCCGTCGAACTCGTGAACCCCAAATGTACAGTGCTAGATATCTATAAAATGCTTAGAACACAAACAAGTGACTTTCATGGAAGTGAACAAACAAGCCCAACAAATGCCTACAGATTGAGTGTGATAATGTGGTCTTGTTTGTTTCAAATGGCCCTCGCGAACATAAAATGACCTACTATCACTGTAGCATTGCATTTCAGACACTGGAATGAGGTGAATTTCATGAATGAGTGATGTCTTCACAACCTTTTTCATAGCCCACTCTGTTTTCACAGGCTTTGTTGTTTCCTGGTCCCACATGGTTTAGAGAACATATTGGGAAGTTTTGGTTTTTTTGGACAACTTTGACATCATCAACTCATGAACCATGTATATGTGCAATGTCAGTTTGTGACAAACGTCATGGTTAGTTGACATGATACACAGTGTTTAGGTTTTTGCATGGTAGTGACAGGTAGTGATTCTGGTAGATGAATGGCACAACTAACCTGATACATGATTGTTTAAAGTGATTGTTGCCTAACCATTGTAACTAGTGCACATACCTCTTTTGAGCATAACTCAAGCTCTAGAGATGTTGATGGCCCAATGTTTGGAGGATAGTCCCTTCAAACTAGCTTTGGTCTCCCTGCAAAAAATATGGACTTAATAAAATCTCCACATGTCATTCTCACCCCTCTTTCTGCTTTCATACTTTGTGTTGTAAATCAAGAACCAGTGCTCTAAATCAGTTGAATTCGGTATGGTATCATATGTCCACTATATAGAACCACCTTGCAAAAGAACAGACCAGTCACAATGCTGTAGATTGCAAATCAACCTACTTGCGTGATTTTTTGTTATTTGGCCATAACTCAAGATCAACTTCCTCACATGACATGATTTCAAGTTGAACCCCTCTGTTCAACAGATATAGCACCCATGCAAAAATTTGGATCAATCCAACATCTCCATATCACAATTTCTGCTAGCTTTCATATTATGGGCATATCTGAAATAAGCACAATTTCGAGGCTAAGTCTGAGTTACAAGAAACTAGTTTCTGCTCTCTAGGCATCGTGTTTGGTGTTTCAACGTATTACTTCCACCTCGTGCCGAACAGAAGTTGCAGATACTCGCGCATGGCGTACATGTCGATTTATACTGAAACGCGAGATTGCAGATAGAGCAGTTTAGAGTATAGTGTTGCCCGACCGCTTTATCGGAATCGATGGTGCAACGTTTTTCGTCTGTCGACCGCATGGTTGGTTTGTCGACCACAACACAGGTGTTGGAGTAAGTTTGCAGATCGCATCACGTTTCGAGATCCTATCGACACTCTGTCGATGGATTTGTTCATACTATTTCGTGATTACGATCTCACAGCCCAGGTCACATTTTGCGTTGGTTGAACAGATCGTTGCGGGATTTTGACGATAGCCTTGTTAGACGTTCTCAACGTACATTGGAGAAGTTATCGATGTACTTCATTTGACAAAATCTCAGTCGACAATAGCAAGTTTAGGGCGTGCAGAGTATTATGTGATTGCAGGATTTGCACTGTCAATTGTAGCAACACGAATCTGCATTATGAAACTCCACTACTTCCTCTCCGCACTCCCCTCACTGTCCGCGGCTTTGGTTCCCCGCGGCCGATGACCTGGTAGCACATCTACAGCTACACATTCTCGAGACCTTAGCCATTTCACAGCATGACC